CGGCCGCCCCGGGGACCGTGGGTTCGAGACCCGCCCTCGCCCCCAGGCCCCGCGCTCACCCGGCGGCGCCGGGCCCGGGGCGGCTGCGCGATCCCGGGACAAAGTGCGAGCAGCGCCTGTGACCGCGGAAACTCTTACCTTACCCCTCAATAGCGCCTTGGCAAGGGGCGCCGCAACGGGACCCTGTGCGGGCAGGAGGCCCCACGCATCATAGCCCCTATGGGGAACAAAACCCTCCTCCCAAATTCAAGTTGTCATTACAAACATATGTACATATATAGAGCATGGCCCGCTATCTATACCAGAGGCGATTCCTTTGTTACCATACCTACAGCTTTGCAGGGGGACTTCGAGATACTTAAGATGCTACTGGGACAAGGCAACAGCTACTTTTAAGGCACATTTTGAAAGTACACTTGTAAACCCTTTCCTGTTATATATTTATTTTCTAATGGGCTAACGCAGTAGCGTCCCTGTGGAATGTAAAATTTAACATTATTAGAGGTAGAATGTTTTGTTTGCAAAATTAGATGGAAATATAAACCTAGGTAAAGTACCTAACATAAAAAAAAATAGTAGTACTAGAGTACCTAAAGTAAAAGGCACTTAAATGTCTTGGCTAACAACGTTCGCATTAAAACACGATATGTTCATGCAAGAGCAGCACATTGCATCATAGCTATGCAACACGATGATGTTTCAAAGGCCCTGCAAATTATTCCAGGACTCATGCACCAGATGAGTGGCAACCTCCTGCAAATGCCTTGATAGAGTGGGAGGAAAGAAGGGTGCTCTATAAATAGATCTATATGATGAGTAGAAACAATAAAAGAGGGTAGATATTTTCACCAAGACAAACTTTGAAGATTTACTCACACCAAGGCTATTTTTGTATGCCAGTGTAGGCAAGCAAGATTTTTCTTTTTATCTAAATAGAAGTGGAGTATTTTTAACGCAGGAGATTCATTCCCTCACTGCTCATCTAAATGCAGCAGCTGGGCCCGGAGTGGGATGCGGGGGGAGGGCAGCGCGCAACCCCAGCCCCTTCCCGAGTGGAACAGATGGTTTTCTGCACGGTGACTGGAGCTGAGGTCCAGGCCAGGAGGATTTGCTCTGCAGCAGCCTCAGAACCTCTTCTCCACACTGCTGTGGGCGCCGAGACGCGCACAGGAGACCTGCGAAGTTTCCGCGCTCCTCTTTGGGCGCTAGCGGGATCGTCTCCGCGTGTGCGGAGAGCGTTGCTGGCAGGGTTGTTAGGTCACACCTCCCTAAGGAGAAACCCAACACTTCGAGGGAGATAAAGAAAGCAGCACTCGGCATAAATACACCAGAATGGGTATGGTTTTCCTCCGAGAGAGGAAGTACCCTTTGGAAAAACGGGGATTTGGTAGAGGGAATGGAAAGCCAGCAAGATGACTCTTTGTGGGCTAAAGACGTAACAAATGTAAACTTGCATTTTGCCATCGATTTCAGGATGACACCAAATTTTCACTAGCTGAGAGCCTATTTCTTTTCCCTGAAATAGCACAGTTCAGTGTCTGGATCAGAGGGTTAATCAAGCATCAAACATTGGTTTTAGCACTGATTCACTGCACAGTTTTGAGGAACTCAGCCTCTATCCCAGTTTACTTACTTGTAAAATGCATTCTAAGGCTCAGTTCATTGGTGCTTACATATTACATCTACAAAAGGACCAAAAGACAGTCAAGAGCAGAACAACATTTTTTTCCCAAAATATAATTACAGGAGAAAGAATCGAGATAATATTGACAAAAGAGGAAACAAAACTAATACGTCAACTAGAAAATTTAAGTATTTCCCTTCCATGTTGTAGCTAAGTACAGAACCTTCAAGTCACCAAGTTTCCTCACTGTATGGACTGTATTAAATAACATTAAGACACACTGGATAATAATCATATCTCTGTATGACAAATTCTGGATCTTGTTGTCAT